ACCTTAGGTGTACGTGGCTGGCGCCTTAGCCGGTTGAGCTATAGGCACTGAGCCAACATTTTTCTTTCTTGATAAAAAGAGAAAATTAGGCTCAGTACCTGTGCTCAATGGTTAGGGTGCCAGCCACATACACTGAGGCTGACAGGTTCAAACTCAGCCCAGGCCTGCTAAAAAGACAACAATGACAATTGCTGGCTTGGCGCCTGTAGCACAGTGGTTATGGTGCCAGCCGCATACACCAAGGGTGGCAGATTCGAACCCGGCCCGGGCCAGCTAAACAACAATGACAATCATAACAACAAAATAGCCAGGTGTTGTGGCGGTCACCTGTAGTCTCCGCTACTTGGGAGGCTTAAGTGAATCACTTAAGCCCAAGAGTTTAAGGTTGTTGTGAGCTGTGACACCGTGGCACTCTACCAAGGGTGGCATAGTGAGACTGTCTCAAAAAAAAAAGAAAGAGAGAAAGAAAGAAAAGTAGGCTGGGCACAATGGTCTGTAATTCCAGCATTTTGGGAGTCCAAGGCAGAACTGCTTGAGCTCAGGAGTTTGACACCAGCCTGAGTGACATAGCCAGACCTTGTCTCTATAAAAAGCACAAAAATTGGCTGGGCAAGGTGGCTCATGTCTGTAATCCTAGCACTCTGGGAGGCCAAGGCAGGTAGATTGCTTGAGCTCATAGGTTTGAGATCAGCCTGAGCAAGAGCAAGACACCATCTCTACTAAAAATAGAAAAACTGAGGCAAGAGGATCACTTGAGCCCAAGAGTTGGCGTTGCTGCTGACACTACGGCACTCTACCCAGGGAGACAGCTTGAGACTGTCTCAAAAAAAAAAAAAAACCCCACAAAAATTAGCTGCATGTGGTGGTAGATGCCTGTAGTCGCATAGTTCCTTAGGAGGCTGAGGCAGGAGGATCAATTGAGCTCAGGAGTTGAGGGTGCAGTGAGCTATGATGACACCACTGCACTCCAGCCTGGGCAAGAGAGCGAGACGGTGCCTCAGCAACAATAACAAAAAACTTTGAAAAGAGAATAGTCAACCAGAATCCCATAATTGAAGTAACAATATTTATAATGGATTAAAAAAAATTCTATGCAGGATCGGTGCCTGTGGCTCAAGCAGCTAAGGCACTAGCTACATACACCTGAGCTGGTGGGTTCGAAACCAGCCCAGGCCCGCCAAACAACGACAGCTGCAACCAAAAAATAGCCGGGCGCTGTAGCAGGGACCTATAGTCCCAGCTACCTGGGAGGCGGAGGTAGGAGAATCACTTGAGCCCAGGAGTTGAAGGCTGCTGTGAGTCATGATGCCACAGCACTCTACCCAGGGCAAGAGCTTGAGGCTCTGTCTCAAAAAAACAAAAAATTCTATTCAAATGTGTAAATATATTTTGTGTATCTTTCAGTCTTATTTTTCTATACATATGTGAGATGGAGATTATATTTATGTAAGTGAAATATTTTATAAATGCCTATATCCTGCTTTTTTTCAGTTAGTGCTATGTAATTAAAAATATATAAAAAGTTGGCTCGGCGCCTGTGGCTCAAGCGGCTAAGGTGCCAGCCACATACACATAAGGTGGCGGGTTCGAGTCCCCAGCCTGGGCCCACCAAACAATAAGAATGGCTGGAGCCAAAAAATGGCCAGGCGTTGTGGCGGGCGCCTATAGTCCCAGCTACTTGGGAGGC